TACTGTTCTTCTGAACTCCAAGCATCACTGGGCTGAAATGGGCTCCTCTTGTCCCTTTCCCAGCTGCCCATTTGACTCCTAAGGGCTGGGGGGGCAGGGCTCCTGTGTTTGCTGGAAGGATTGAAGGAGATACTAGGTGTAAAGGTTCTGTGTAGCCTGGGGTCCCCTAGGGAGCAGATACCCCACAGTGGCCTCTGTGGGTTTTCTTCCCTTTTTCTTTTTTTAACTGATACAAAAAATGTACAAGGGTCTGAATTTTTTCAGCAACGCTTAGCTTGTCTGCCTTGTTCTAGCCCTCGTAGTGGGTATGTGGGTATGATGTAGTTGGGGGTGATTTGATCTAGGACTCGATCTGCTGATGACCTTGAGCATCCTCCCATGTGTTTATAGGCCCTTTTGTTTTGTTTTATTGTGGGAACTCTATATTCTTCGCCCATTTTTAATTGGCTTGTCTTTTCTTGTCTAGTTGGGCTTTGTATGTTTTGGATACTAGACCTTTAAGCAGATACAGCGGTGCTTCACTGCACAACGGAATTCACTCTACGATCCTGGAAAAGGTGCTCTGTTCGTGCTCACGCGAGAAAGCTGGCTGTGGTCCTGTGTGTCACCCCGTCCAGAGTCTGCAAACAAAGACAACATTGTGCCAAATGTTTCTTTTTATGAACCACATTGTTCACAAACAAAAGTGTTCGTGAACTGAGGTACCACTGTGTATGATTTATAGCTATTTTCCCTCCTTCTGTGGGTTGTCTTTTTACTTTCTTTATCGTACCCCATTAAGCACAAAAGTTTTTTTTTTTTTTCTTTTCTCTTTTCTTGCTTTTTTTTTTTTTTAGTGCTGTCCATTTTCTCTACTTTTACTTTGGTTGCTTGTCTTTTAGTACTGTATCTTAGAAACCATACCATAATTGAAGGTCATGAAAATGTGTGCCTCGTTAGTTTTTCCTAAGAGGTTTGTAGTTTTAGTTCTTAATAATTACTGCATGGTTATTTTGAATTAATTTTGTACATAAGGTAAAGCAGGTGTCCAGCTTCGTTACTTACATATGGATACCCAGCAGCATTTATTGAAAAGAATATTCTTTCCCCCATTGAATGATCTTGGCACCTGTATAGAAAATCAGTAGGTGTGTAGGTACTTCTGGATTCTCCAGGCTATTATATGGTCGGTCGGTCGGTCGGTCGGTCGGTCGGTCGGTCGGTTGGTCGGTCGGTCGGTCGGTCAGTCAGTTGGCCTTTTCTTTATGCCAGTACCAAGTTTTCTCAGTGACTGGAGTTTTGCAGTACATTTTGAAATCAGGAAATAGGAGTCTTTTGCTGTGTTCTCTTTCAAAATGCTTGGCTCTTCAGGGTCCCTTCCATTTTATTAAGCCTTTCAGAATTAGCCTGTTAATTCCTGAAAAGGGCATGCTGAGATTTTGGTGAGCATTGCATTGAGCTTGTAGATCATCTTGGGAAAATGTGATGGTTCGACACTGTTAAGCCTCCTGTTGATAGTATGTGTGTCCATTTATGAAAGTTTTCTTTAATTTCTATCAACAGTATTTGTAATTTGTAGTGTTTGTCCTAATGTTCATTTGTTAAATTTTTTTCTAAAGAATCTTATCCATTTTGATGCCTCTGGGAATGGAATGATTTACTTAATGTTACATTTGGGCTATTCATCGCTGTGGTTCAGAAATTCAGCTGCTTTTCTTCCAGCAGTCTCGTATCCTGCAGTCTTGCTGAACCCATGAGCTGTGAACTCTCTTGGGTTGAGTGTGGCGTTGCATATACGTGCATCCCTTGGGATTTTCTGCACCCAGATCATACTGTTTGCAGATAGATGCAGGTGGACCTCTTTCTTTGCAATCTGGATGCTTTTTTCTTCTTTTTCTTGCCTGATGGCCCCGGCCAGACCCTCCAGCATAGTGTTGAGTAGAAGCAACATGAACAAGCATCCTGTCTTGTTCCTGACCTTAGAGGAAGCGTTTCCAGGCTTCTGCTATAAATTTGATGTTATCTTGAAGTGTGGGCTTTTGTAGATGCCTTTATTAGGTTTCAAAGTTTCCTCCCATTCCTAGTTGTTGAGTGTTTTTACCATGAAAGGGTGTTGGGTTTTATCAGCTGCTTTCCCTGTATCAGTAGAGATGATCATGTGGTTTTTGTCCCTTGTTGTACAGTAGGCCCTCCCTTATTTATGGGGGATGAGTTCCCAGGCCCCAGTGGATTCCTGAAGCTCTGGAGAGTGCCTGATTCTATATTTACTGCCTTTCCTCCTGTACCATACCTCCATACCTGTAATAAAGTTCAATTTATAGGACCAGGGATGTGGTTCAGGGGTAGGGCATTCACTGAGTGTGTTTGGGGCCCTGCGTTTGATCCCTGGCACCATCAAAAACAAAGTTCAATTATAAATTAGGCATTGTAAGAGATAAATAATGGTTACATAATGGAACAATTATAACAACATACTGTAATAAAACTGCCAGTCTCTCTGATGTTGCACTTTGGGGCTGTTATTAAATAAAATAAGGGTTACTTGCACACAGGCATTGAAACATGGCAGTTGACAGCTACTAAGAGACTGCTGGGTTGGTAGTGTACCCAGCCGGAACATGTTGGACGGGGGGATTCAGGTGTGGCCTGGGCAGAGGGGGATGGTGAGATTTCATCCCCTATGCAGAATGGCATGCAGTTTAAAACTTTGGAGTTCTTTCTTTCTTTCTTTCTTTCTTTCTTTCTTTCTTTCTTTCTTTCTCTCTCTCTCTCTCTTTCTTTCTTTCTTTCTTTTTTTTCCCCTGGTGTCATACATTGAAAATCTTTGGTCTGAAGTTGATTGAGGGAAGCTTGACCTGTCCTAGCATGACACAGCCCTGGGATGAAGAGGCTGCTGGAACATGGCGCGTGGCCTGGGCTGATTTCCAGAAGCCAGAGCAGAGCGCCTGTTGCCTTGGGACCCACTGCTTGGCAGGGGAGGTCACTCTTAGCCTCGATTCCACCACTGCTCACTGTGTAACCCCCGGGGGTGCTTTACCTCCGTGCCTTAGTTCCCTCACTGTGAAATGGGGTGACGGTGGTGCTTCTTCACAGGGCTCTTATGAGGGTAAATGAACGACAGTGTAAGCACATCACACATAGCAGAGCAGTGTCTGGCACAGAGCCAGTGCAGTGTATGGACGTGTTGGCCACCATCAGTGACATCGTGTCCCTGTTGGAAGGAGCCACCCTGGGGAGATGGCAGACTCGGGGGCACTGAAGTCGCCTGGAAGCTGACGGGAGTGGTGGCTGTGGTGGTGGTGCTGTGAGCGCTCTCCCAGGAGATGACCTCTGGGCTCCCGCAGCCACGTCTGCCTAGGAGAAGGTGTGCACCATGTCCTCAGGGCCAAAGGTGGGACCCCAGCCCCTGCCAAGCCAGGTGAGCCCCATTTGAAGCCTGCTTGGTGCTGAGCCCTAAGCTTGCTCAGACCTGAGCATCGCGGCCTCATGGCGGCAGTCCGCAGGGCCTGATGTCTGCAGCAAGGAGGCTTTGTGCAGCCCCCCTCCTCCCCTCCCGGCCCCACCAGCCTTCCTGCTCAGGCTGACCCTGGGGGAACGTGCGTAGATGGCACACACGAGCTGAGCTCCAGCTCCGCCCTCCTCCCACCCAGCGCTTCTGACTTCTCTTCTGCAAGCCTGGCTCCGCGTCCTGGCCCGCAGGCTGTCACACAACCTTGGGCAGCACTGCCCTTGGCCCCAGTTCTGGGTCTGTGCCTCCAGATGCAGTCATAGCACATTAAAGATGAGAACACACAGGCAGGGCTCCAGAGAGTGCTGGCCTCCAACACCCCAAGGCCCACAAGGAAACCCTGCAGCCCCCAGTGTTAGACTTCTTTGGAGTTTGGACTCTGCCTGGAGGAGCGAGGTGAGGAAGGACGAAAAGCACTTTTAATATGCCCCATGCAGTTCTCGGCGTGGGTTTTTATGAGCTGAATGAGGCTGGATCCTGCTTGGTTTAATGTGCTGACCTCTTGGCCAGCCAAGTAGCTGGAAGCTCTGGGGACAGTGAGTGAGTGCTTTGCTGGTCTGCTTTAGGTTTGGTTTGCAAATTTATGGGTGACAGGTCACTGCTGCCTCAGTGACGCTTAGCCTGGCCAGCCCCTACACCCAGAAGTACAGGGTGGCCCCTCCTCCTGGGAGCTCTTGGTCTTTTTGGAGAAGGGAACTATGACAGGAATTGGTAATAAAAAAATGAGGTGCTGAATAATCAGTAGAGATTGGAAATCTTGGTATCTCACCAAGAACCCGCTTTGCCCTCATGCAGCAGGAACCTCATGATACTTACAAAACTCAGTGCCCAGGGGTTTCCTGAAAACCCTGACAGTGTTAGGATCCGTGTGGGCACCGGCTGGGGGCCAGCGGCATGAGGCAGGGGTGGCCTGGCCTAGAGTATGGGCCACCAGAGAGGGACAGGAGGCAGGCCTGAGAGTTTGGAGGCAGTGACTGACACAGGCTGTCCCCCGGCCTGTCACCAGGGGCAAGCCTTTGCATCCCTCTGACCTCAGTTTCCTCCTTATGGGAGAAGTTTGCAGGCTGTACAAGTGGTAATGTGTGAAGCCGTCAGCACAGTGCCAGATCCATGTGGTATCACCCCACAGCTGCCAGTAAGCCAAGATGTCACATGGTGGAAGAGCATTAAGCTAGGGAAGTGGTAAGTAGTGTGTTAAGTTGAGGATCATGGTGCAAAATAGTACCAAGTAGCTGCATGTCAGCATATTGGTGTTTAAAACAAAGGCTTGAAGAAGGAGGGATATATAATAACGTATATGGGAAAATAAGAAAGTACATACTTTCTACTTTTCTGTGCTCTCCAAATTTTCCAGTGACCATATAATATTTTTATTATTATAGAAAGTATAACTGAAGAGTGTACTGTCAGCACTCGCAGAGTGCTGCAGAGTTGGGGACAGTCAGTGTTGGGAGCACAGAGGTGGGTCTGAGGACCCGGGGGCAGGGCGCTGACCGACCTCTCTCCACTCCAGATGATAGGATCTGCTCTCCGCCCTTCATGGAGCTCACAAGCCTGTGTGGAGACGACACCATGCGGCTGCTGGAGCAGAATGGCCTTGCTTTCCCCTTCAGTACGTACCGCACTGTGCATGCATGGGGCAGGTGCCATCAGCCCTGGGGAGGGCAGGCCAGGCAGGTACGGACAGACTTTGCCCAAGCATGGGCAGCTGCTGTGGTTGCCAGGGGGTAGCCCTGGGTCCCATCTTCACCCCCTCTATTGGGTGGGTCACTGAGGTGCGGGCCAATGACGTCCTTCCTGCCTGGCCTGGGTTGCCTGTCACATTACCCTGGCGTGAGCGCTGGCTGTGGTGCATCTTGTCCCCACTGCCTGGCCCCTCCACATCTGTCGGGTCAGGCAGTGTGGGTGGCAGCCGTGCTCATTCCTGTTTGCTTGTCTTTCCTACCCACAGTTTGCAAAACCCGAGTGGCCCATGGCACCAACTCTCACGAGGTGAGTAGACTATCCCTGGCCTCTGCTTTCCCCGTACTGCCATCCCCCAAATCCTGTCAGCCAGAGCCACACCTGCCGCTGTACCTTGTCCTGTTCTACTTGTCCCTTTCCGGTGGGCAGCTGCCTTCCCAGGCTCTGCCAGAGTCTAACAGAGGAAACTGTGGCCTTGCATGCTGTGCCCAATCTCACCCCACTGAAAAGCCTACCCCAGTGCCTGTCCCTTTCCCCAAGGCCATGTGTTGGGCCACCTGTTCTTTTGGAGCCAGGCTTAGTCGGCAAGGCCACACTGACGAAACAGCACAGCCGTGTGACTTCCAGACCTTGGTCTTCTCACGGAGCTGGAGCTGGAGGTCCCAGGTGGGAGTGATGGCAGGGCCGGGTTCTGGTGAGGGCTGCTCCCGGCGGCAGGCACTGTCCTCCACAGTTCCCTGTATGTATAGGATGCGAGAGTGCACAATGAGGCCCAGGCCCACCATGAAGGACCCCAGACCTCTCTGCTGGCCTCCAGATGCTCTGGGGCTTTAGCTATGGCCTTGCAGGGGATGCACATGAAGCCAAAGCAGAGCCCGAGGAGGCCCTGCGGCCTGGCCTGTTCCAGTCTTTCTGTCCTCTGGTTCATTGGTGGCAGGCACTGGGCTGGGCCCAGGGAAGGCCACTAAGTGGGAAGACACCATCACTGTCCCCTGGATCTGCCAGCTCCTGAGAGGGGGCAAGGGAGGAAGGGGACCCACACCTACTGGTGCGCTGTCACCTCTGCCCTCCCTCTTGTACCTTCTTGTCTCCCTTTGCTCCTGTGCCCGACCCATCTGGGTGTCAGGAGTGGGGCCCATGATCCAAGCGGAGGCTCCTGTGGGTCCCTGCTGACCCCCTCCCCCGCCCCCAGGAAGCACACCAGGATGCCATCTATAGATTGGGCACTCAGAGGGGATGCTGAGGCAGTCCAAGGAAGCCTGTTCTGGCCTCCCAGTGCCGTGACTGAAGTGGAAGCCTGCTGCCTGCACCCTTTCTCAGATGTGTACTGTGCTGTTTATAGCGCTACAAGTAGTAAATGGGAGTGCCTATAAACAGTGTCCCCGGGGCAGGGGACATGCTGTGATGGGACATCTTGTGCCAGCTGTGAAGGGCAGCCATCTCCAAAGACCAGGAGCCCTGTGGACACCCTGGGGGACCTTGCTGGCCAGCCAGCGCATCCCTGTCACCACCACACAGCTCCTGCAGTGCTAGGTCCCCGGGCCTCAGGGTACGAGTGTGGGCACTGGTGGGCTTGGAGCAGCCTAGATCAGACTGGTCAGCCCGAAGGGGGCCACGCTTCCTGTTACCATAGGCCTTAAGGACCCCAACCGTGGAACTTGTGGAACTGGGCCACTTTTGGCGTTCTGCATTGCTAGCTCTGTGGCTGGGCAAGTTACTGAGCCTCTGTGAGCATTTGCCCTGTATTTATGACTGGGGGTCTAGCATCTGTTGTGTAGGATAGGGGATTCCTCCATGCTTGGCACAGTGCCTGGCCCAGGGGAACTCTCACCTGTATGGACCGAGCTGCTCTGGGGTGGGGCTTCCGGTCCAGACAGGCTCTTGGCCAGCTTCTGTTGGCTTCGTGGGAGGTGTGACCCTCACATTGTGTCACCACCCCCAGGGAGACCATTTTGCCTGAGATGGACACGCGCATACCCCTCTGCCCTTCCCGGCACCAGGGCGTCTTAGCTCACAGCTGCAGAGTGAGCCCCGGCCTCAGGGCTTGCCAGCATGACAGCCTGTTGGCCTCGGGGGCTCCCCAGCTGTGAGATGTTGCCACAGGCTGGCTGGGCCGAGTAGTGAGTAGCTCACACACCCGCACAGGGCCCAGGGTCCTGTGCAGCGAGGGTGGAAGACACGGCTTGGGGGGATTCTGGCGGGCCTCATCCACAGGCCTCCCTCTGAGTCTCAGCTCTCGCCCCACTGGACCAGGACTGGTTTTGCCAGAGCATTGTTTCTGGTTTATGTTCATCGAACTGTGGGTGTCTGTTATGATTTTAAGCCAGGCAAGTGCTGGCATGCTCCTCAGTGGGCAGCCAGCCACCTCCCTCCCTCCTTCCCTCCCTCTCTCCCTTCCTTCCTCTCGCCCTTCCTCTCTCCCTTCTCCTTCTCACCCTCCTTTTCCTATCCCTTTTCCAAAGCTTGAGCACTCTGCTGCAGGGAGCAGAGTGGTGACTCCACCTGCACATAGCCTAAGCCCAGAAGGTCGCCTAACACAGAGCAGACTGGCCCTGGAGTGCCGGGGACCTTGCCTCTTTTCAGTGGCTCCTCCCATGGAGGCGGGCCCCCCATCCTAGCACTCACTGGTTCCCATGTTTGTGCTCTGCTGCTGAGCACCAGGCACCTAATTGACATGAGGGGTAGTGACTGGTGCAGTATTGCTGTCCAGGCCCTATCATCGCTGCTCAGCAGTCCTGGGCTGCCCAGTCATGGTGGCTGTGCCCAGGGGCCCTGAGAGATTACCCTTACCTGGTACTGGCAGCTGGCTCAGTGGCTAGGGCTCCCCCTGCTGCTCCTGCCCTCCCTGTCTCAGTCCCTTGCTGTGTCCTCCCCTGGGCATATTGTCCCTAGATGCTGGGTCCTGGGAACACTAAGACACGACTCTCTCAGGGCCTTAGCCTCCTCACCTGCAAGCAGGGAATGGTGACATGCTGTCTTGGGGGCACCTTGCGAAGATGACGCCCATAGAGTTCTGGGGTCTGGGTTGAATCCAGGGGGTCGCATTGGCCTGAGGCCTCCAGCTCCCGAGCTGCCTGACTCTGTCCTGGGTCTTTGTGAGGACCCTACAGGATATCAGAGGGTTGAGTAGCACATGACCCAGGGGTCTGATTCCCAGGACTGCGGTGTGAATAATGCTCTCAGGCATCTCTCCATGGAAGGCTTCCAGGATGCAGCGTTTCCCAGCCCCACAGTACTCCATGAAGCTCATGCCTTAGGGGAACGGAGGGTGGGGTCCCTGGACAGGTGACACTCCGTGTTGGGGGGGGGCTGTGAACTCTGACAGCCTTTGGCCTCTATCTCCCCAGATGGCCATCGTGTTCAACCAGGAAGGCCTGAGCGCCATCCAGCCACCCTGTGTGGTCCAGAACTTCATCAACCACAATGCTGTGCTCTACAAGGTGTTTGTGGTGGGCGAGTCCTACACTGTGGTCCAGAGGCCTTCACTCAAGAACTTCTCCGCCGGCATGTCAGGTATCTGCTCCTTGTGTGCCCACGGGCTGTGCCGTACCCTGGGTACAGCTGCCCCGTGCCTCCCATTTACTTCTGGAGGCTGTGAGCGTCCGCAGGTGAACCAGGACCCTGGGCACCAGGCACAGTGGGCTTCAGCTGACAGAGCCATGCCCACCCCAGCAAGCACTTGAAAGCCTTGTCCAAAGATGGGTCTGGAACCTGCATAGTGGGGGACTCAGAAGGAGTCCCCCTGGTTGTCCCATGGCCCCTCAGGGCACTGCTGGAGGCTCTGTCACGCCATTCTCAACTCCTGCCTCTGCCACATGCCCCCAGGTCCCTGTAGTCTGTTAGCAAGCAAAGCTGCGAGAGTGCAGGGGTCCCCATGTGGGACCTCAGGCAAATCACAGTGAGCCAGTTGCCCCACCCTTCACTGCCCCAAGGTCAGGCCCTGGTCAGTGAGTGTCCTGAATTGCTGCATGGGATCCTCAGTGTCCCTTAGGTCACATGGTGGTAGCATGTGTACTGTGCTGCTGTGGCTCCATCCTGGAGGCCCCCATCCCCTGAACAGCCTGTGGCCTCCGAGGTCCCCCAGCTCACTTCTTGCCTCCTGTAGACCTAACGCCAGCTACCCTTGACTGTTAAAACTGACCCTACGTCAAACACTGCTGGGGCTGGGGCTGTGCCGAAGAATGTTCTGGTGTCGCAGAGGCCAAACCTTTCAGGTAGTGCCTTGGGAATAGCTTTCTGGGAAGGTCCCATGGGGGACATCTGACTGCCCAGGCACCTGGCTCTGGCTTATTGGTGTTTCTCTGTGAGCTAGAAGCACCAGCCCTAGGAGCACTGATCCACAGGCATCTGAGCAAGCCGAGGTCCTTCCTGAAGTGCCTCCCCCAAGGCTCCTGTCACCACCACCCACCCTCCTGACTGCCCCTCTTGGCCTTTCTTCCCTGGGTCACTTGCTCCACCCCCAGCGCAGTAGTCAGCAGATGCCTTAGGAATCTACATCTCTTTCCACTTCTTTATCAGCAAAGGAGTGTGTGCCCAGCCAGGGCCAGGAGACCCCATCCTCGCTCTGCTGAGCCACACCCACACGCAGGGGCCTCTGGTCATCTGGGTGATGGGAGGACCAGGTTAGGAACAGTGCTATGTGACACGGGCCCAGGAGACAATCTCCCAAACTGGGCCAGAAGAGGTCGACATATTAGTAAGACTCCTTTGTTATTTTATTTTCCTGATTTAAAAAAAAAAATGCTTTTAATCTATGAGAAACATAGTAAGAATCATCAGGACTGGAAGTGTAGCTCGGTGGCAGGATGTTTGCTTAGCATGCGTGAGGCCTTTAGTTCCATTCTTAGAACGTCTCCTTTCTTTTTTTTATCCAAATTACTTCATCACTAAAAGAAAGTTACTGCCAGATCTTTCTTTTGCACACAAAAGTGTATCTGTTTGCATTTTCCAACTTTTTATTCCAGGTTGGACAATGCTAGAGCCATGAGTGTCAGGGTGAGAACTCATTCATGTCTTTTCTCCTGGCTCTTCGCTCTTTGTAGGCTGTGAATGGAGCCCCAGGCCAAATAGTAGGAAAACGCACACGAACAACTCCCAGGTGTCTGGCTCTGCACTGTCTTTTAGGGTGTCCTGCCAACAAGGCAGTGTGCGGGCCGCCTTTCCCCTGTGTCTTTGGCGTAACGCGACCGCAGCCCTTTACGTTGGACCAGTTGGAAAGTGCGTGCTGGGGCTCCGTCTTTCCCAGCCACTCACCGCCCAGCCCCTGGCTCCCGCAGTCTGTGGCAGATCCCACAGCTGTCCGTGTCCGCGCTGGGATGTGGGGCGTGGGGCCATCGGGACCTGGGAGAGACAAGGATGCTTCTCCAAGGCTTCATTCTCTCGACTGCCACGTGTACTTTTGTTTTCTCTGCCTCATGATCTCCATGTCAGTGCCTGGCGTCTGTAGACTGTGCCATCTCGTAGATGCCTCGAGTGGACCCAAGCAGAGCTCGGAAGAATGGGCACTGGCTTGGGCCTGCTTCCAGGGAGAGGAGGATTCCCGTCCATAGCTCACATTCCTGGGGCGATTGTGTTTTCTCTGCCTGGTGCTGGGGTAGATGGGCACCTTTTTGTTCCTCTTATTTCTGTCCGTCACCTCGACCTTGATGACGTGGCACCTGGGCATCCGGATGTATACAGCGTTCCTGGTACACTCCATGCCTGGGCTTGCTCTCCCTTAGGGGGACCTCTTACTGGGAGCAGGGGTCAGCAGACTTTTTCTGTACAATGCTGAATGATTAATAAATAACTGCCATCCCAGTCATTTAATGCTGGTGTTGCAGAGCAAAAGCAGCTGCAGAGAGGTGGAGCTGAGTGGGCGGGGCTGTGCGCCAAGCAAACGTTTGTATTTACAGTGCAGCTGTCCTGTCCTGCAGTCTCCAGCTGGCCAATCTAGACTGCAGTACCTCTTCCAGTTAATGAAATGCTTTTACTGAACCTGCTATACCAGCTCCCCATGCAGGTGCAGGGGGTCCAGGCAGGGACCTGTCGGACGCATTTTGCCCTCCTGAATATGTATTCTAGTGGGGGAGCCACCCACAAGAAGGATGCTGCGAAAGAGCCAGGTGTTGCTTGAAGTGAGAAGTTTCAGGGAGAGAACAGAGATCCAGGGACACGCCGCTTAGGGAGCTCGCGAGAAGAGTGGGTGCAGGTGCAGACCCTCTGCAGAGGCCAGGTTAATGCAACCGGAAGGCTACTCTGGTCACCATTGGTAACACTGACACCCAGAAGGGACAGGAGACAAGCAAAGAGGCCCAGGACAGTGTGGCCGCAGATCAGGGCTGCGCTGCTGGGATGCTGGGGGCCATTCTTGTCATTTACTCCTCTCTCAAGTTTCGCTTTGTCATGCATAGCTTGAGTACACAACCAGTCATTATTCCTTTCCTTGACCACCCTCTGCTGCAGGACGTTCATGGTGGCCTTTCCTCCATCCGTGCTGCGTTTCTTGGGTATAGTCCAGGAACAGGGGCTGGCTGGGGCCCCCAAAAGGAGGGACCTAGGCCCTGGCCCAGTCCTTCTGTTAGAGGAATGGCGTGTCTTAAAGATCCCCAAGGAACTGGGCACCAGGACTCTTGTCTTGTGGCTCAGACCTCTCTGAAGCCATCTCAAGTGACAGGAAATGGCTAGAAGCTGGTGTCATTCCCTGAAACCCCACTCTGGCTACACATGGAGAGATTTTGAGTCTGGGTCATCTGTTGCTGGAAAATCGTGCTCTGGCCAGAGCACAGCAGGCTGGAGGTAGTGGGGTGGGCGGGACCCTTTGCGCCATGTATGCATTTGACCTTGCTTCAGGAGCCTGCTGGAAGCCATGGTCTGCCCAGTGGAGTGGGTGTGGCAGATGCCTGGTGCGGCTCCATCCTTGCCTGGCCCCCGCCAAGTGCCCGTGTTTCGTCTTGGTGACTCCTGTGGGCTTCCTGGCCTCCTTGAACTTTGCTGAGTGCACCAGCTGATGGTGGCTCTGCCTCGCAGCCCTGCCAGTCTGGCTGCTAACCTTGGGGATCTGCAAAGCACCCTGCCCAGGGGAAGGCTGCAGGATAGGAAGGTGGGCCTGGCTTCCAAAGGCCAGAACTCCAGCCTCTGGCCCACCCAGCTTCGCCTCCCCTAAGGCTCCCTTGTGGCAGTCAGTGCCCAGAACTGGAGATTGGTGGAGCTGCTTGACGCAAGTCCCGCAGGGTGTTTATTTTCCCCAGGCTCCTCCCCAGGACCGTCTCTCGTGCCCCCAGTCTGGACTGGCTCTGGTCGGAGCGGCAGGAGGACTGCTGGGCACACCGGGGTGGCCAGGGGCCTCTGTGCCCCGCTAGCAGGAAGGATGCCAGGTACATCTCAGCGCCTGCCTGCTTGGCCTCTGCCCGAATCACTGCCTCATGCATGATTGTTGCGGCGCCATGGAGTCCTGGAACTGGGGGGTGGGGCTTGGCAGCCCGAGTGGGCTCCCCTAGCCCTGGCACACAGGTCCTCAGCCAGGGCTCTTCCTGTCCTTAGGCTTCAGGATCTGTGTCCCAGGGATAATCACTTTGTCCTAGGGGAGGCATCTGTGGCACCCCACCCCATGAATCCAAGGAGTGGCCCAGGGGCTCCTAAGCAGGATGATCCCGTGCTGCTCTTGGGGCTGGGGGAGGCCAGGGGGTGGTGATAGATTTTGCCAGAACTCCTCTCTGGGCTTGTGGTTCTGTGATTCTTGCCTTCATGTGACCGTGCTTTGGAGTGCTTGAGAACATTCCTAGCTGACCAGCTGGCCGGCCTTACGTTTCCTCCATCAACCTTGGTTAACTCAGCAAGGACGTTTCTATTGAGGATGAATGGATGCACTGTCAGCTTATCACTTCAGTGTTCTGGGGATTTGTCTGCCTCCCCAGCGCCCCAGGCATGGGGGAGGGGTGCAGCAGTGGCGGGCATGGAGCAGGGATGCGAGGGCTGGGGGAGGTCGAAGGCATTTGGGGGCAGACAGACTGTTCCGGATCTTTCTTGGATGGATCCTATGGAAGCCTGTGTACCAGTTTCCTGTATTTTCCCTGCCTGGTGGGGAGACAGCAGTATCTTTTAGTTTAAGCTCTTGTACACCAGTGGTAGCCTGGCCGTTTCTCCATAGGTGTCCTGGGCTTTTGACACCTGAGTGCTGACATGTATGTGACACACTTAAGGCAGGTGTCCTGTGTGCAGGAAACCCAGGCATGGTGAGAGGTAGCCTGGGAACAGTGGTTTCTACCTGGGAGGAGAAATGGAAGCAGAAGGGTCACACATATGCCTATGACACAGGGCTAGGGTTCCCTGCTCACGAGCTGGCCCTGCTGCCGGAAGCCTCCCTGGCTAGAGGCTGGGGTGGTGCTGCCCCCTCGTGTCCGCTGGTGGAATCGTGGCTCTACCTGGCCATTCTAACTCTCTTGCTGTCTTGTGCTTTCACAGACCGAGAATCCATCTTCTTCAACAGCCATAATGTGTCAAAGCCAGAATCATCATCGGTCCTCACCGAGGTATGTGGCTCGTGTGGTGGCCTGGTGTGGGGTGTTGTTGGCTCCAGGGCCCCTGCTGAGCTCTCTGACCATGCGATGGGAAGGGAAGTGCCTAGGGCTGGGGTGAAGGTTAGGGCACGACAGCTGTGCATGCGACAGGGGATGCGATGGAGCCTGGGAGGAGGCAGGGGTCTGGCTTGGGGCCTACTGCCCGCTCACTTTCCATCCCTTCTGTGTCTCCTGTCCATGTGGGTCTCCAGGGAGCATTTGTCAGGAGCCTGCTGTGGGGTGGGGTGGGCCCTCCACCCCTAACATAGTGGCAGTGGACATTGCAGCTGGCAATCAGCGATTGTCACTGGGTGAGGCCCAGGTGCCCAGTGGAGAGGAGAAGCGAGGGGAGAATGGGTTACTCCCTGAGGTTTGCAGAGTTGAGCAGAGGTTGACCCATCTGTCTGATTCAGAGCTAGGTGTCCCAGGAGCTGGGGACTTCTCCCATCCCGGCCATGCTGAGCAATGGCTCTGAGGAGATGCAAGCCACCCCAGGCCACAGCCTGCTGCCCTCCTGTGTCTAGCGGGCCTGCAGCTTTACTGCCTCTGGGGCCCTGCTCCCCTGAGCTGCATCCCTCTGCTGTTCTTTGCTTGTGTCCCCTCCCTCTCCTGGGCAGGACCCAAGAGCCACCACTGACCATGGTGCCCTAGCCTACCCTGTGCTGCACACAGGGAGCTGCCCAGGGCTTGCACTCCTGTCTCCTGAGCCCTAACTGCGTGTCCCCTTGGCGTTCATCTCTGGTTTGTTTGAGAAGCCTATGCTGAGGATTAGACAGAACACAACATGGACAGGGACCTGGAGGGACACCACCATCCTTCAGGATGTTGACAGACATCCCCAGGAATGAGTCAGTGAGCTTTGGGAGCCACTAGATTTTACACAAATCCCCTCTGGGCCTGGCTGTATGTGCTGTTAGGTGCAGTACGTGCAGGAAAGGCCATCTGCTCGGTGTGAAACCCCAGGGCTTCCTCCCAGCCGGGTGTCTGAGCCTCATTCAGCCCACGGGGAGTCGATTTCCACACACCTCCTGGGAAGCTGTCCCTTCCCATGTCCTCGCAGTGTGCAGCTGGTGTCCCTTAGGGCTGACTGTTACCGATGCCAGAGGGACAATGAGGGCTGCAAGCAGAGGTCTGCGCCTCAGTGTCATCATCTGAGGACGGGAGGAGTCAGGCTGGACACAGCTGTGTCCTTCCCCACCAGGGAGGCCTGTGGTTGTCCTGCCTTCCCCTCAACACATGGTGCTCCTCAGGACTCCACCCAGGAGGAAAGGGCCACCTCATTGGTGCCACCTTCTCCATGAGGGGGTGCCAATCCCCGGACACCCACAGGGGACTACACAGCCACTGTGTTCCAGGAATGGGTGCCCTTGGAGTGATCTGGGCTGTGGAGCCACTTCCTGCCCCACCGGGGATTGAACGCAGATCCTTGCATTTGCCAGTCAAGCGCTTATCCTACTGAGCCATCTCCCCGGCCCCTCAGCCAGCACTTTTGAGCTGGCCTTGCTGTGCTCCACCACTGCTTACTTTTCAGAGCCAGTATCAGACTCTTCAAGAGCAGAGGCTCTGGAGGAGGTGGGCTCGTGGGGGGCCTGACCAGGCACAGCAAGTGGCCTCAGCTCTCTGAGCCTGTTCCCTAACGTGCCCTCTGCCGGGTGTGCAGTGAGTGCTCAGTGTCACTGTGGTGGGAGCCAAGGCCTCAGAGCAGCCCACGGGACACCGTCTCAGCTCCACTGCCATCTTCCCCAGAAAGTGTCGCACCATTTGTGTTTACCACACCAGGGCACTTCCACGCCTTTGTCTTATCCTAGGCTGGTTGCTTGTTTCTGGGTAATCACAGGGCTTCAGGAGGATTTCTGAGATTCCTTGGCTGGGCTGAGAAAGAGCTTTTATAAACAGCATGTCAGGAGACTGTAGCAGGGCAGCGGCCCAGCAGCCTCAGCCTGGTCCTGCCATGAGCCTGGAACAGCAGCTCACCGGATTCTCGTGCCCATCTGTTGGAGTGAGAAAACGGTGCCCGGGGCAGTTCAGGGCATGCGGTAGGTGGCATGGGTCTCTCTTGGGCTGAACCTTGGGCCCTAAGTGGCCAGGAAACTCTTCCAGGCTACCGCTGGGGACCTACTTCCCCAGGTCAGACACCAGGGCACTCGGGCAGGGGCAGGCAGGCCCTGCCTGTTCGGCAGAGCAGGACGGTAGCATGAACCACAGAGGAGACAGTGCCAGGTGTCAACGCTGCTCAGCACATCTGGAAGCTCCCTGGTGTCCGTTCAGGGGTAAAGGCCATTTCATTTGTCTTGGTGAGCAAGGGCTCCATCTTCAACCTTCCTGACCCAGCTTTACCTTTTTTTAGATTGCAACCAAGTTCACACCCATACAATTACCCACCTTGAGGTGGACAGGTCAGGGGCGATTAGTGCTTCTGCCTTTACTGTCCTGTGCCCATGAACTGTCCTCCCTGTCCCTCCTGCCATCAGCACCCAGCAGCTACTGGTCTGACACCCATCCCCATGGATGTGCCCACTCTGGGTGTTGTATGTAAATGGAACCATAGGTCACGTGCCCCTGGGTGACTGGCTGCTTTCCCTAGCGCCATGTTTCCACAGACCCCCGTGCTGTAGTGTGCTTGGGTGTCAGCATTCCACTCCTTCCCGTGGACGGGTGTGCTGTTGTACAGGAAGCTGCTCCCGTTTCTCTTCTCCGTTCATCCACTGGCGGACACTGGCGCACTGCCACCCTCTGCCCCTGTGAGGATGGCCGCAGCTTGCATGGGTGGGTGTTCAAGGGTGCTCGAGTCCCATATACAGGCCTTGGGTTTCAGCTCAGGAGTGCAGCTGCTGGGTCATAGGATAATTCTGTGCTTCCACCCCCTTCCCTGTTGGCCACAACACCTGGAGCTGCACATGTATTCGGCCCTCAGTGTGTTCTGGCTGGCTTTTCAGTGACAGTTGTCCCTGTGCTAAAATTCAGATGCAGCACTCCTGGGATGGAAGCGTCCTTATTCCATTTTACACACAGGCAAATGGAGATACTTCCCTGAACCCGTGAAGTTCGGAGGTTTGGATCACTGTCAGAGTTTGGATCTAAATCCTTTGACCCCAGTGTGAAGGTCCATTTCCTTGGAGACCCTGGCGAGGGGCCCAGGTGTGGACACAGAAAGCACAGGTGCCTGTGCCAGGCCTCCTAGACTAGGGCAGGGAGAGGGCGCATGTGCAGGGCACAGTGGGAGAAGTGGGCTGGGACAACTCTGCCAGCCCTCTTCTTTAAAGCTGAATGTGCCCAGGGCGTCAGGTGGGAAAGTGCCTGGGAGATGCCCCAGTCGCCACTTGCTGCGAAAGGAAAACGGGCCAACCCCAGAACCCATGGCCACACGCCACCCCTCTGCCCTGGCTCTGCATCTCCACTTTTGTCTCCTGCAGCTTCTCTCTGCCTGCACTCTGTCTGCCCCAGGCCTCAGCGTCCCTGGGGCCCAGGTCCCCCTGCCCCCCACACCTTCTTCAGCTCTGAGCCCTGCACCTTTGTGTCCTCTGGGTCTGCGACCCTTCATGTCTCCTTCCTTCCTGCAAAAGGGTTGGGTTTAGAGGCAGGAAAAGCTAGAGCCATTTCTGACCTGTGCTTTCATGCTGTGTGACCCGGACTGGCCCCAACCCTCTCTGAGCCCTTTTCCCCCATATGTAAAATGCTGATACTGATACCCACTTCCTGGGTACTGATGCGCTCTCGCCCCCTACTGAATCATCCACTCCAAAGCTGCCTGTCCTTGGCAGGACTAGAGTAGGGGTAGCCTGCTCCAGAATCTGTGGCAAGTGCTAACCGTGTTGTTGTCCTGGCACCTCCGGTGGTGTCCTTTGCGTGGTCTGGCCTGGCACCCCCTCACCATGGCCTGACCTCTGTGTGTCCGCAGCTGGACAAGATTGAGGGTGTGTTCGAGCGGCCTAGTGACGAGGTCATCCGGGAGCTGTCCCGGGCCCTGCGGCAGGCGCTGGGTGTGTCACTCTTTGGGATTGATATCATCATCAACAACCAGACGGGGCAGCATGCGGTCATCGACATCAACGCCTTCCCAGGTGAGCAGCAGCCGGGTGCCAGCCTTGCTGGGACCTGGGCTTTCAGCCTCAGTGCATGGGCAGTGGCAGAGGAGCGAGCTGGTAGGATCACAAGAGTGGCCTCACTGTGGGGCCTGGGGCAGCGCTGCCCCAGCCGCAAAGTCTCAAGCACCTGCAGGATGGATTCCCAGGGTGCAGGAAGGGCAGAGGCCCTGAGTGTGGGTACCTGGAAGGCCCCAGGCGGAGGGCACTCAGCTGCCCTCAAGACCTGTGCCCTCTATGGCGCTGTTGTTCTTGATTGTCTGAAATCAGCCCACCTCTGGGACTTGACAGACTGTGGAGTTGAAAAGACCTCAGAGAGCACAGCCCTCCATAGTGTATGCGCAGGGAAAGTGAGGCCACCAGAAAGTGTCCTGGGTTACATAGCACCTTGGTGGCCAGGTGAGCCACTCCCAGCTCCGTGTTGCCTCCGCTGCCCTCACCTGTGGTGCTGGGAGGCAGCAGGCCCTGTCTCTGAAGGGCAGAGTGTGATGTGGCCCGTCAGCCAGGCTGCATCGGACTGTGAGGCTCGCACCTTGCGGGGCTCCAGCCCCAGGTCTGCAGCCTGGCCTTGCTTTTATAGTCTGCGATGGTTCAGGTCACTTAATCTTCAGGGACTGGGTAAATAAGAATATCGCTTTCCCCCTGCGGAGACATAGAACATGGTCTGCAGGGTACTGGCACCTGGCCTCCCTTTCACCCATCTGCCCCCGCCCCACCCGGGAAACACACCCCACCTGCTCTGCCTTTCCAAAGCTGACCTGGGGCCCAAAGCAGAGGGGTTGCCGACAACCTGACTGGGTCTCCTTTGCTCACACACTACTCACATCTCTTCTCAGTGCCCAGCAGCCTGAGCACCTGGGCTTAAGGTCTGCCCTGCCCCTCACCGCATGCCCAGGCCAGCAGGGCACCCAGCCCCACAGCTGGGCTTCCAGGCGCCACATGGTATTCGGCGTACACACAGGTCCCAGCTATACCTCACTGGAGCTTTGCAGCACCAGTCTCTGAGCCCCAGGGCTGCCCTCTGTATATGGGGCTGCGGCGGCACATGTGCTAAGAGGGAAGGGCCCTGGTGCTCTCAACACCAGGCTGGATGCCAACACCACCGTCACTGTCATAGTCAGCAGTCCTCAATCCTCACCAGTGAAATAGGGCCTCAAAGGTGCAGTGGAGGCCGTGGAGGCGCGGCCCACAGAGCTCTCCTCCCAGCTCACTCTGTGCCCTGCTCCACCCTGATAGTGCCACTGGAGCTCATGCCAGGTTCCAGGAGCCCTTTGGCGCCGGGCTGTCCTGGTGGTGGTTGCAGCTGCAGTTCTTGCTCTCCTTAGTGCTCTTGGGCTGACTATCAATGCTTAGCCCTTCGCGTCGGCCCAGGAAGGCAGGAGGTGCCCACCTTTGGAGGTCATTTGTTGGCAGTCAGCACAGCCTTACCTGACGCTGAAACCTGCAGGTGTCTCCCAAGGGCTCTGCCGACCCTTGTGTCTGCAGGGGAGCCTGTGCCTTGTGGCCACCAGTAGTTCATAATCCAGACTTGCCAGCCCTGGCCAGAGGGCTGTTTGCAGTGATTGTCTCAGGTATTTTACTATGGTGATGGCAAGAGGGTGAACACACACACACACACATACACACACACACACACACACACACACACAAACACACTGCGTACACGCTCACACTCTGGCAAGTGGCTTATGTGGGCTCACAGTTGGAGTTTGGGTGCTGATCCCAGGCTGAGATGGGACACTGCCAATGTGCCAGCCCCACCCCCACCCCCACCCCTGCCTTGGTTTTCACAGAAGCTCCCCACAAGCAGTAGCACTCTGTGTCGAGACATGGAAGCTGAGACACAGGGTAGATGTGGCGCAGCCCAGCCTAGGTCTGGCTGCCAGGTCCTGTGGAGTCGGTGGTTGTTCGGAGCGTGAGGAGCAGCCTTCGGCTCTGCCGCCCTCACCTCTGTGCCTGACCACATCGTGCAGGTCTGCTTGCGAGCTCCCGCTCCTGCAACGAAATACCTGAGATACTGAGCAAGAAAGGTTTACTTTAAGCTCTAGGCTTAAGTTTCCATCGGATTAGTAGGTCGCATTACCGTGTGACCGGGCAGCACATGGCAGGGTGTGGGGTCTGGGACAGGGAAAGCTGTTTAGTGAGTGGCAGAAATGAAAGAGAGAGGAGAGAGGCTAGGGACTAAGGCCACCGCCCCACTGACATGGAGACTTCCTGCTCCCCCACCCCCAAAGGTCCCAGCACTTGCTAAGGCTCCATGCACAGCTCCTGGGGGACAGCTACCCAAGCCGCAGCAGTGTGTGGATGGGTGGGACCATTCCCAGCAGGGACAAGGTTGGGTGCAGCATCAGCTGCAGTTCTCGGCTTTTCACACCTTGGGGGAGGTCAAAGCCAGGCCCTTGGACTCACTGCACCAGCTTGATTTCTGCCAGCCTCCTTTGGGGAGCCTGGAGTCCCCTGTTTGCGTGCTGCCTCCTCCTCCCTATCACCCTGTGGCTGATGCCCTGGTGCCCCTTGTCTCTCCTGCCCCAGGTTACGAGGGTGTGAGCGAGTTCTTCACGGACCTCTTGAACCACATCGCCACTGTCCTGCAGGAGCAGAGCACCAGCATGGCCGCTGCGGGGGACGTGGCCCCACTGAGGCACAGCAGGCTCCTGGCTGAGCAGGCGGGCAGCCTGGCAGGCGAGCGGACGTGCAGCGCCGGCCCCGGCTGCTGCAGCAGCATGATGGGCCAGGACGCACCCTGGACCGCAGAGGCTGACGTGGGCGCGGGCGGCTCTGCCAAGCTGCCGCACCAGAGACTCGGCTGCACTGCCGGTGTGTCGCCCAGCTTCCAGCAGCACTGCGTGGCCTCCCTGGCCACCAAGGCCTCCTCACAGTAGCCATGGAGCCCGGGACCCAGAGGGGCGGCGCGGGGCGCAGAGCATACCCGCTGGGCCAGCAGCTCCCAACGGGGATGCTACTAAGAATTCCCAAATGATCTGATGCTTCTTTTTTTTTAATTTTTAATCTGATTTTATGATGTGATCTAAACAAGGGGTGGGGGGAAGAAGAAGCAAAGACCTAGTGGCCCAGCTCATGGAAAAGGGGCTCCCCGCCTAGTTCCTGCTGTGCGGATCTCTTCACTGAGTTTACACATGCTTGTGTTTTCAACACTATGTGTGAATGCGAGGGTGTGTGTGTGTGTGTGTGTGTGTGTGTGTGTGTGTGTGTGTTTGCTGTGCAAGTGTGCATGGCTGTGCGTGTCTGTCTCCATGGCTGCTGTGGGCCAGGCCTTTGGGGCCCCTGCGGGGAGGCCTGGCTAGGCTGTTGGTGGCTGCACAGAGCGAGCGGATGAACGGTTCCTCTTCCTCCCAGCTCCAGGCTGCCCACACCCAGACCTGACCCTTCCTTCCTTGCCTTCCTGCTGTGTCTTCTGAGACCAGTGGCCCCCACGTGGGCAGCTGACCCCTCACCCTAAGGGGGAGCTCACAGGCCCTTTGGCAGAGCTCGTACTGGAGGGGTCTTCGTGGTGACCCACCTTCCCACAACAGGGATGGGCAGGGAAGCCTCCCGTGGGCAGAGGCCAAGGCCCTTGGTTGCTGCCACCTTCCCCTGTCCCTGGAGTCACCAGGTCCCTCCACTTGGGGCCAACCCTTCACAGGACCCAGAAGGGGGACACTTTGCTGAGAGCTCTGGGCTGAGTCCATCTGTACCCAGTTTTGTGCTGGGATTTTGGACACTTTTCACTAGTTTGAGCCTCTGTCCCCTCATCCCCAGTGGGTGGCCAAGACCAGAGATCAGAAGGGCTGGTTTTGTGCTCCTGCCCAGAGAGACAACCTGCTCTGTGGCCCCTTGATGGCCTCACCCGCTGGGCCTCCAGGCCATATGGATCACTCCTGTCCACACACACTCGCCCTTGTCCAGCAAGCAGACCCCACACAGCCCTCCTGTGGTGATCGTAAGCCCAAGCACTAAGCCAGCCTGCAAGGAACTGCACCCCACCTCAGACTCACCTTGTCCTGTCGCCACGGCTGCAGGCCGACCACGGCTGACCCCAGGGGCCATGGGATAGGGCATCTGAAGGGTCTTCCCTGCCCAGGAGGGTGTAGGGCCTGGGACCCCCGAGCAGCGTCTTGTGTCATAAGATACCATTTCACTTTGGATGAGAAAAGGCCTCTGGTCTGTCCCCTGTGATCCTGTGAGGCAGAAGTCACTGGAGGAGCCCAGAGAAGCCCTAGGGAGGCTGCCAAGGCAGGCACACGCACACGGGGGGCTTCTGGAGGCTTTGGGGCTGGCCAAGGGCGAGGGGCAGAAGCCAAACTGCTCAGCTTCCTTGGAAAGGAAAGGCCCCAGAAGTGCCGTGCTTGTGCGAGCCGAGTGTTGACTCTGACCGATGTCTGACCCTGAATCCGGGAAGCAGGGAAGCGTGGCCAGCCTCTTGCACTGCTTTGTCTCCGAAATAAACTACTGAAATCAAACTGCATTTCACACATGTTTACAAAGTGCTGCTTGTGTTTGTTATATCATCCTCCTAGTATTTAACGGAAAGATTTTTAATAAAGCAGCTTTATGCCTTTTAAGTAAAATCTAAGTGCCACAAGGACAGGCAAGGTGTGTGGCGTGACCGGCTGCGGTGAGTCCCTGTGCAGGTCAGCGCTGTCCACGGCCACATGGGTGTGTGCCTGTCCAGGTATCAAATGACTGCTTTCCGGTGATGGGCATTTCCTGCAGGTCTCCATGTGGGTGGCAAGGGGGGCAGTTTTGTCTTCCAGGAGTGGAAACCAGCTGAGGCTGGGGTTTGGCCTCATAGAGACCTTGAGCTGTGGGGTAGACAGGAGCCACCTGTGAGGTTGGTGGATGCCGTCCAGCAGGCACAGGAGCATTGACAGTGACTAGGCACCCTCCCACACCTGTGGAAGATGTCAGGATGAGAAAACCCAAGGGTCCCCCGGGCACACACTGCCCTTCGTGGGTGCCAGCACATAGCACAGTTTCCCTGTGTCCTCACTGGCCCCAGCCTTGGGAGTCTGGTAGGGATAGACAGTCCCCCTGAGGCAGCTTCGGAGTCCATAAGGTGCAAACCTGTGAGAGCACCGTGCCCATAGGAAGCACCCTAGGAAAGGCAGATGGCTGGAGTCGCCAGTGTCATGTGCAGCTGGGCCCTACACTTTGCTTCCATCGCCAGCTGGTTGGGATACTGGGCCAAAGGGTCTGTAATACCCGTCTTGGTGGTGGTCGGTGCATAGGGCTTTGACTCAGGCAGGGCGACATTTGGCTGAAGCCTCAGGTAGTTTCAGAAGGTCGCCTGTGTGGTGCTTGTGTTGGACCACTGGGAAGAGGCCTTGGGTCAGGTTTGCTTAGTCCTATCAGTGCAGGAGGGATGACCTCAAACAGGCATTCCTGTCCCCAGGGACCAGTGAATGGGCTTGGTAGCAGGCTGAAAGGCCCCAGAAGGAAGCTGGCTTTGCCCACTGAGAAAAGGGACTTGGAGACCAAAGGAAACTGTCCTTGATCTTTCCAGCCTGGTGCTTGGGTCTTGGGCATTCACATTGGCTGCTGGCCACTGAGAGCCCCTTGCTGTCCCCACTCATGTTCCTTGGGTTTGTGCCCTGTCCCCTAGAAGCTGGCCCTCCACCCAGTGAGCAGCATCCTTCCTTGTCCCTGCTACCGCAGAGCACTGGGCTCCTCCAGCACAGGTCGCTGTGAGGGGGGCCAGTGCAGTGAACCTTGGGAGCTCTGGCCTGTGGCTTCTCCGCTCAGCCCAGCTGTGCCTTCTCCGCTCAGCCCAGCTGTGCCTGCTGCCATGTTCTCCTGCCAGCCTGAGTCCCATTTGGACAATGCTGCTGAGGGTCCATGCTGCGTTCTCCCCTCATGCCTCTGCCCCTCTGTACAGCGAGCTCTTGGAGCCCGCACCCTTGTGCAGAGGAGAGCTGCTCGCCATGGGCCGTCTATGGCTGGATCTACTTCCAAGCAGTGTGCCTCTCACTGAGACTGTTAGGGCCTTTCCCAGGACTGGTCGTTTTCTCTTTACTTCCCGAGTCTCCTGCAGCTTGGCATCTGACCAGGTGGACCATCCTCCAGTTGTCTGCAGCCACCTCTCTGAGGCTCCCTCTGGAGAAACTGTTCAGAGAAGGCTTTCACTAGGACATCGAGGGGGTGCCACCCCTCCACCTGGGCTTTGTGGTGATGGCTGTTTGCTTCATCGCTAGCCTCACAGGCAGCTGTACTGGAATCTAAGCTGGTTTGTACATGGCATATATTTATACAAAATCATGGCTTGTGCCCCTCTGCTCTTGGCGGGTTTGCGCCATGTAGTTGCAGTGCAGGTGGCTCATCTTAGGATGGATGGTGGGGAAAAGGTGTCCCTGAGCTCTCTGTTTAAGGATGTTTTGAATCTTCAGGGCCTGGTGGAATACACCTCATCTTGTGTTTGCTATTCCCTCATGGTCAGTGGGGTGTGAACCTGTCTCTAAGGAACAGGTGAAGCAATAAACACCATACAGCTACAGCCCTTCAGAGGGCGTGCCTCTGCTTTGGGGACTGGCAGCAGCAGGCTTTCTGGAACCCCAGAATGATTCGTGTCATCATAGTCGGGGCTTTCGGTCCGTGCTGCCCAGCCCCTCTGATCCGTACCATAATCATGAGGAGGAAGTGCTACCACATCCTCTTGGTGAGGAAACTGAGGCCCTGTGAGAGCTAGGGCGGCCTCCTGAGCTCTCCAGCGAGTGTTGAGGTAAGGCCCCACCTTCAATCTGAGGTCAGAATTCAGGATGTTACTCCCAAACCCCACCTGCTCAGAGCCACTTGCCAGAGCTTGAGCCCTCGGGGTGGTGCCCAAACCCCAAACAGTACCTTGGACTTGGATCCACTTGGGGCTCCTCAGGTAGCAGTGGAGCTCTGAGCTGGGCCCTCAGTGCCCTTGCCCTCCAGTCCTATGAGGAGAGCATCACAGAGGTGCCTGCCAAGGCCATGCCTGTCCCTGAAGTCTTCTCACCATTTCCTGGAAGAGCCACCCTCACTGGTTTGATCTTACTGGAGGCCTGAGCTGCCACCTGAACAGGTGACTCGCAGATCCCCGGTCAAAGCAGCCAGCAGAGCCTCTACTCCTCCTCCTGTAGGGACCTGGGCTCCCCCCCCAGGGGGGCTAGGGCTGTGCTCCCCGCCACTGAGTGTGCCTGCAGGTGGTTTCGGCAGTGGAAGTCCAGCTGTCACACTGAGCAGTGAGTTTCCCAAAACCAGCGCTTGTCCTAGTCATTGCTCCATGCTCAGGCCTGTGAGGCCCAAAGCCCAAGTGTGAATGGTTGGCACTGCTCGCCGTCAACACACGGGGTGCAGCCAACCCCCAGCCTGGCCTGTGCTGATTGCATGACCTGGCACAGACCCCACTTTTGCCTGCGACTTGAGAGCGGCTGTGTTCTAGTGAACCTTCACACGTAGAAACCTTCAGTCTCCCCATGGGTCTGTGCACATGACCAGGGCCTGGCGGAGACAGGCTGGGCTGGTGCAGCCCAGAGCACGCATCAGGAAGTTCACAGCTGCTCTGCAGCCTGTGGCCATCAGGGCCTCTGGCCAGCCCCACAGGTGACAACGGGTCGCAGCCCGTTGGGGTCAGGTAATCTCAGAATCAGGTCCCAACCTGGCCTCACCTGTGTGTGTGTCACTTGCACCATACACACACCCTTATGGGCAGGTGAGCACCCCCATTTTTTTTTACCCCCATCTTATAGATGAGGAAACAGGCTCACAGGGGCTAAGCTACTTGCTCATAACCCCACAGACAGGAAGTACCCCAGAAAGGAGTTACCGATGCAGACTGAATCCAAGTCCCTCTGCCAACATCCAGTACATCCCACCCCACTCAGAGGTGAGAGAGGAAAAAAATCCAAAAAGGAAAGAGGCCAGAGCAGATTTATTTTTCCCTAGATAAATTTTATACAGAATATATTAGAGTCAGGAGTTCTCAGCTTTCACTGAGAGGTCAGACGTTATTGCAATTGTGCCCAGAGGGTGTAAAGGTGTTGGGGAACTTCTAGAATGCTGCCTGTGCTCACAGAGGAATAATCCACGTTGAAATTTAGGGGGCTGCCCTGCATTTGGTGCTCCAGGGCAGGATAAGAGCAGAGGACAGGAATGTGGGGTGATAGGGTGACCTGGAGGACACCTGCCTACTGGAAGCAGCGGCCGGCCTGTCTGGCCTGGTCCTACAGAGGGGACAGCAGAACCAGAGCCATGGGGTGACTTGGAGCCCTGGCCACCCCTCACATGGTGCCTCAGCCTCTCCGCAGTGCCTGCAACTGGTGGGCCACCTTCTCCAGTTCTGCCTCGATGGCTGACAGGCTCTCCAGCTCCTGGTCCTAAGATAGAACATTAAGGGTCACTCTGGGGCTGGGCTTTGTCAGCAGCACCAGGGTCAGTGACCCACATCGGCAAGGTTCCTGGTTAGGTGTGTGGCTTTGCCTGTGAGACTCAGGAGCCTCATCTGTTTCATGGGGACAATGACATCACCCTGTTGGGCTGCTCTGAGGGTTGTAATGCACAAGACAGTGGAGAGAGCTGCCCCTGGTGACCTCAGGGCATGTGAGAAATGCGTCTGGTCCATTTAGCCAACTGGCAACACACGCTGGCGGGGGAGCAGTGGCTGCCCTGGTCACCCAGGCCTGGGTTGGATCTACACTTCAGTCTCCCTCTGGAGGGTGCCAGGAGACTGTCATAGGCTGGGTGCTGTAACAGCCTACACCCACCTGCCTATAGCTGCGCCTGCCTTTGTCCTTGGTCCAGATCTTAGGGGGACCCCAAGTTCTGGCTGCCGGTGTGGTTTAGGGAAGCAAGGGTTCCCCTCTGAGCCCTGCTCCATGACCCAGTGTTACAGAGCATCCAGGCCCTGCAAGCTTGGGCACTGCAAGAGTGTACCTTCAGCCTCAGGGGTGGAGCTCTGAGTGGCCACCTCCCTGGCCTTGACCTATGGGGGCTGTCTTCCTGAGGTCCCCACTGATTTGGAGCTGCCTTGGAACACTTGAGCCCCTGGTTTAGGCACAGCCTTTGTGAGGTCTGTGGAGCTAGTGTCTCCAAGACCCTTGTACTGGGAGGAGGAGGCCCCTGCTTCATTTTGTCCATGAGATGCTAGGGTTCCCACTTCTCCACCTGCCACCTTGGGCTTCCTCTGCTTGTGCAGAAGGGAAGCGAGACGGAAATTCTCCCTGGCATCAGCGGGTGGGGAAGGGGTGTTCAAGGCTGCCTAACCCCTGCTGGGATCGCAGATGCTGTCCCTGTAGCCTGTGCCCCTAGGCTCAGGGGACAAGGACACATGTCCTTTCCCAGCTCCAGTAGCCAAGAAGGGGCCTTCTTCCTCTCAGGCTGCCAACAAGAGCCCAGGCCCAGACGTGGAGAGAGGGTTGGGGTCCAGGGAAGGGTCCACCTCTTCTAAGTGGGCAAAGAACAGCTTTAGGGCATCAGGGCTGTGGACAAAGATGGCCCCCTAGAGTTCCCACTCCTGTCTGGCCCTGTGGCTTGAACTAGGTGCCACCGTAGCTGGCTCCACTTCTCCTGGGGGCTGTAGTCCAGTATCCCTGTACCACCCCATTTAGCTGTCCAAGGGACCTCAGGCAGGGCCAGGTCTTCGAGCTCATGCATGTTGTCATGGTGATAATGAGGTGAACAGAAAGGACTCCTTACCCGCATTTCCTAAGTGGGTGACTGATGAGGCTCAGAGGAAGGCAGTGACCTGCTCAAGGTCACACTGCCAGGACAAGGATGAACCCAGATACACTGGCAGATGTCTACCCTCACTACCCATTCAGCACACCCTGGGGCCAGCTGGACCTGTCATATCCCTCAGTGGGACCAGGGCCTCATATCTGGGTGGGGCCCACACTCCTGGAGCCTGGCCCAGGGCTGCCTCCCACCCATACCAACCTCTGCTCTGCGGTTGGCACTGCCCTCCTCTTCCTTCTTCTCCTCAGGGAAGCCACGGGCCGGGAGGGGCAGGCCAGCCTCGACGCTGTCCTCCCGGGAGGATGGCCTCCAGCCTTGACGAAGCTGTGGCCCAGAGCCCCGGAAGCCATAGGCCCGGGTCCTGAATGAGAGCTTCATGGAGCGGTCAGGGTCATCCTCCTCGTCCTCCCCCTCCAGCCGCTTCTCGGCTGCCAGCTCCTTGGCCAGCTGGTCCATCTTGCTCCAGCGCTTGGTGTCCTCCCACTCCCTGGAGAGCCGCTCCTCCTCCTGCTCCAGCTCCCCACTCTTCCCGCCCCGGAAGGGGCCTCGAGGGGCCCCTGCCATCTCCTCCTGCTCCTGCTCCCCCTTCCCCTCGGGGGGCCGAGCCTCCTCAGTCCCGGTCTTCCCAGCTCCATTGACAGCCAAGGCCTCAGAATGACCTGGAGCAGGTGGTGACAAGAGCAGGAAATAAGCAGAAGCTGCCATTTTTCCCAGGGTCTGCCACTCCCGGGGGCCACAGATGGGGTCTCAGAGTGCAGCCTACTCTCTCCACAGGAACCCCTCAGAGGAAGGAGCCATCTTGCTGCCATATTTGCAAGACCCTCTCAGCTCAAAGGGGTGGGGAAGCCAGTGCCCATCTTTTCCTCTAGACCCTCTCCTCTGGAGCCCTGGGCCCAGCCTGGAGGGGCCCCTCAGATGGGCCCTGGAGGAGCCGACACTGTCCTGGATTGGCCTTCACCTACCTGCCACACTCTGTCTGTTCTCAGAGCCCACCGGCCATCCATCCTGCAAAGCCTCTGGGCTCCCAGGTTGGAGATGGCTGTGGGCAACAGTGGGAGGTACACAGCTTGGGGGTCAGGCAAGCCAGGGTTGGAATCTCAGCTTTCCCTATCCATGAGCTCTACGACCTTGGGCAAATTCCTTAGCTTCTCTGAGTCTCGTGGGCCCCTTCTGGAAAATGGAGATTATACCTTTTCCTTTGGATGGCAATGAAGGTGGCATGAGAAGATGGTGTGCATGAGGAATGAGGACCCCTCCACCTGCCCATCTCCCAGCCATGTGGGTAGAGGTCCCTGTCATCCCACGTACTGTCGCCCTTCTGGATCTCCTTGCTGCTGAGGTCCTGCTGGGAGTTCAGTGCCGCAGTGGGGTCCTCCTCCCTAGGCACAGCCTTCGTTCCAGTCTCCTCCTCCCCCTCGTCCTCTTCCTCCTGATCCTCTTCTTCTCTCTTTGCCGGCCGCCCTTGCTCTGTGCCCAGGCCCTCCTCACTGTCCTCTAGAACCTGCGCAGGGCTCTCAGTGTCCCCCACAGGCTGCAGGTCTGGATGTTTCTCGCTGGGGAGGCTGGCCGGTGAGGGGGTGCTGAGTGCCGACGTCCCCTTCCCCTCTTCCTCACTGAGGGTCTGCTTGCTGCCTGAGATCATGGACCCCTGGCCAGGTTCTGGGAAGGCCCGGGGCCCAGCTTCTGTGGCTTTGCTGCTCTTCTCCTCCTCAGCATCCCCTCCTTGTTCTGTGGCCTCCCTGGGGGATACTGCCTCTGTCACCTCTGCAGAAACAGCAGGACAAAGTCAGGCCCCGAGGACCAGGCTGCATGCAGGGCCTCCCCAGAGGCCAATTTCAGATCTGAGTCATCAACTGGTTTGGCTGCTGGGAAGTGTAGCCCAAGAGAAGCCTTCAGGTTCCCCTTCTGTGGCTGGGCTTGCGCCATACACACTCAGATGGCGTCTCTTTAAGTCTGCCTCTTAAAACAGGTGTGATTTAAAAAGTAAAAACCAATCCCCCAAATCAGCAGACCTGGAAAATAACCCCAGAGGACTGCAATCTGAGCTACACCTTTGGACATGAGCTGAACTGTTCTGTGACTTTGGGAAGATCGTCCAGCCAGGTAGCGCCCCAAGTGGGCACAGGGTGACAGCTGGGCCAGCGTGTGGACAGCCAGCCACGCTGCCACACTGCAGTGCCACTGTGACCCAGCTCTGAGAAACCTGCTTAAGCTTGTGGTTTGCCTTACTTTATGGCTCATCCTGGAGGGTGGCTGTGTGACAGGGCATCACAGTGCCTGAGCCACGACCTCTGTGACTCCTGAGAACTCTGGTTTCCAGAATGATGACCTGGTTACTGAGGTTCTGCACTTGCTCCTCCAGCTTCGCCATTCTAAGGTGCGACAAAGCTCTGTAGGAGCTCTGAGGAGGGCCTCAGGTGGACCCGGGGTGGGCGCTGCCACCTGCTGGGCCAGAGGGAGACTTTCTGCCCTACAACGCCAGCCCTGGGGTGGGCAGGCAGGACCCAGATTCAAATCCTTGTGGTGGTGCTTACCTGGGGCAAGAGACTTAATCTCTCTTGGCCTCAGTTTCCTCATGTGCCACCATTCAGGACTTAAAGGAGATGCTCTGGGCTTTACCAACTCCCCTCCCACTTCCAGCCAGCTGAGGGCCACTGACCTTCCTGTCCGGCCTTGTCGCTGCGGGTCCCCACCACCTCTGAGAGCTCTTCCTCGAAGCTGCTGTGCTTCCTCTGCTGCTGTGCTCTCTCCTTGGTCCCTGGTGGGGAGGAGGAGGAGGAAGAAGTCCACTTGGTCCAAGCCATCACCCCTGCCTGGTGGACAGAAGGGCCCAGTCCCCAGTGGACTGTACAAGCCAGGTGCATCCTGTCAGGCCTGCCCAGTGAGACACCAAGGGACCCAGGCCCATCAGGAGTTCAGGCCAATCCCTGCAGCTGCACCTGAGCCCAGGGCCGTCACCTGCTGCTGTGACCCTCGGGCACCCCTGTCTGCATCATCCCAAGATGCTGCTGCCTCATCTGACTGTTCCCCACCTGTGCTTGCTCCTGGATGCTGGCTCTTTCCAGCTGGCTCTGCAGCTGGTGATGCGGATTTGGGGGAGGCTGTGGGCCAGCCCTGGCCTGAGACAGATGTGGACTGTAGTCCTCACCTAGCCATTACATAGCTTGGGGACCCGGGGCAACACAGGCTCCCCAGGATCCGATGTTCCTCTCTAATCAGTGTTGACGCAGGTAGGGACTATGATAGAGGCAGGTGTATCCAGGCTTGCAGGGCCCATGACAGAGTTGGGAGGCTGAAAGCTGAAGATATGCACAGTACTCATATGATGGAAACAGCCCCGTACTTGTGCACAGTATGCGGCGTGTACCGGAGATACACGTATACGTACACGCGTGTGTGCAGATGCTTCCAGGCACATTGCCTCCGGTGGTCTTCCTTGATATGATATTTAGTTATTAAATGTAAGCTACCTTTCCAATGCCTAATTTTTATATTTTATTTTTTTAATGTATTTAGGACAGGGTCTCACTACTTAGATCGGACTCATAGTGATTCTCTTGTTTTCAGCCTCCCAAGCACTGGGATTACAGGCTTGTACCACCATGCCCAATCTCAATTGCTGCCTCAGCATGCCCCGGGGGCGGGGCCAGCACAGAATGCCGGGTATCAAACCCCAGCCACTGCTGTCTGCCTAAGCAGGAGCCTTAGTCTGCTGAGCTATCTGGCTGGCCCTCCAACGCCTAATTTTTAAATTATCATAGTATAGAGCTGGGCGTGGTATTACACACTTGGAGTCCCAACAGTCAGGAGGTGGAGGCAAGAGGATCACCATAAGTTTGATGCCGGCCTGGGCTACATAGTGAGTTCAAGGTCAGCCAGAATTACAGGGCAAGAGCCTGTCTCAAAAAGATTATCATAGTGTAATAAGGTATTGAATGCTTAGTTTAAAACAACCCAAACCCAGGGTTGGTGATGACAAAATTCACAGTAGATACTAGCAGCCATACTATGGGCCAGGATCCTGTTTTGTGTTTGTGACAACCACACAGGTGGGGCTTGATAACTGGGGCAAGGCATCCTCCATGGGGGAGGGGGAACATCTACTCCCTCTCCACTAGATTTCTCCCATTCTCACACACAGCCCAGCCCTACAGGGTCCAGAGTGGGGGCTTCCTGGGCCAGAACTGCCCGCATCCCAACCCCCAGGACCTAGACCAGCCCTAAGCGTGGGTCTTCCTTTGGGTCGGAAGCAGGCACCAGACTCACACACAAAGCAGCAGTGGTCCTGCAATCGTTGAAATGGCCACTCCCCTCAGGGAATCGGTTAGGGACAGACAGGGCCACCACTCAGGTTGTTCAATGAGCCAGGGCTGTGCTGTGCCTTCCAGCAATCCTGGAAGGATCTGGGAGAGTGGTGGCTCTGTGGGATGACACTAGCCTAGCTCTCCATCCCAGCAGCCTGTCCAGGCTCTGCTTGAATACTCTCTCAGGGACAGGGGGCTCACCACCTCGTGGTCACTCCATTCTCAGTAGTGTCTGTGGGCTTTCTGAATGGATCACCCTGAAGCACATAATGCAAGTCTGATCTGTGTTTTATGGCAGGTAAGACCCTCCCTTCCCCATTACCCCTTCAGCAGACACTCACAGGTAAAAGGGCCCCTCCTCTCTTGTGATCAATTTGCTTCTCAGCTTACAGAAGAAAGGAATCCTTTCCACATTCTAGACCTGAAAGTACCCTTCACAAATGGCTCATCTCCAGAGGCCATTCAGTATTAGGAAAGCTGCATCTGGTTTTGACAACACCCCTATACTGTGTGACCTTGGACTAGAAACTCAACTCTGGCCCTGGATCTCTCTAATGATATCAGTAGTCGATTGGCCGGGTGGCCCAGAGGACTCACCTTTGTGCTCTGTAACCAAAAAGAAATAACCAGCTGTCCCAGAGGACCTTGTTCAACCTTCCACCCTGAGTTTCTGACTCGGTTACTGGAATGCACCCATAATCATGCGCAGTGGCTGGGAACTACCTTGGAGGGCCAGATCTTGGAGCTCCCTCAGCAAGTTCTGGTGTCGCAGGATGGAAAGGATCCGCTCATCTACGAGGGAGGAGCAGAGTTACGGGTGGATTCCAGAGAGCAGCTGGGAGAGATTACCATCAATGTTTCCAGCTGAGCACAGGGAATTTGTTCTGGAAGCCCAGAGCCATGGTGGTGGCAGGAAGATGGGGTCTTGAGATAACACTGGAAATGAGCTTCTGCATCAGCGAGGCTGGCCACTGTCCCCTCACCCAGACTGCAGCCAGGGGGCAGCCCTGAGGAGGAGGGGTCTCTAAGCTCATTCCCCCCCACTGTGACGGTGCCTGTGCCGTCTGCTCTGTCTGGAGGACCCTTTCTTCACTTGCCCCCTGTGCATTACCAGTACTGCTTTGCAACCCAGATGGGACTGGCTCTACCCAGCAGCTGGCCAGGACTCGACTGTCAGCTTGGAAATATTTGCTCTTTACACCTCTCTCTCTCTCTCTCTCTCTCTCTCTCTCTCTCTCTCTCTCACACACACACACACACACACACTCATTACAGATCCACAGGGTATGCATGCTGACCCTGGCAAGATAGCACACAAGATCCAGACCACAGGAGCTTAGGGTCTGGTGGCTGGCTCTTCCAGCCCTGGCTTTATTCTGCTTAGACTTCCAGCTCAGTGTATTTGTTTTATGGTCCACAGCTCTGGGAGCATAGGAACTGTGACTCCTCAGTACCAGTCTCCTTCAGAGCCCAGTTCAGTGCTGGCCTAGGTAAGCTCTCAGCCAGCAACTAGTGACTTCAATGATTGATTCCATCTAAAGTCGCACACCCGGTCCTCGCCTCCTGGCCCTAGTCTTGGACTCGTACCTCCCTGGAGGATCTCCAAGCACTCCTGGCTGACCGGCATGGGGCTGGGTTTGGACAGCGAGTCAGAAATGACTTCCACAATGCACTTCATCACCTGGAAGACAGCGGAGGAAGGGCTTGGACTGGTCTGGGCAGGAGAACAGAGGGGCATCTGCTTTGGTTTCCAGGAGTGCGTGGGTGCCTGGCTCAGGAGTCCCATTTGCCTTCTTAGCCCAAACGTATCAGCAGCGACAGAAAACCTCTGTGTGCCACTTACCATGTGCCAGGTATCCTGATCACATGGCCGGGCCAGCAGGTGCCCCTCTAGGGGAGATCACAGTGAGGGTGGGCTATGCAGGGGTACTGCTATGTCCTCATCCCAAGGTCATTTCTCCAAGGAGGAGGAAATCTGGGGATTAGCAGGACGTCTTGCAAAGTGCTGCGGCCTTGCAGATGGTTCAGGGTCAGCACCCCAGGGCTGCCCAGAAGACAGCAAAGGCCTTCCCTGGCTCCATCTTATTTCTGGACACCTGGATGATTGTCTCCCAGCACCTACAGCGCTGTCACATGCAGGTAGTGATAGGCTCATGGTCTGGCTCTCCAGTTTTCCATGGGATGAGTCTCCTGGCTGGGTAAGGGACACACACTGGCTACACCTGGGTGCCCATCCCAGGCCGGCAGCAGCCATTTCTCTGCAAGTCTGCTCCAGGGTCTGGCAAGCTGCTGTGAATAACTAGGCACCCGTTCAATGGCTGACCTCTGGTGAGCATGCCAACGTAAGTGTGATTTCCTAGTAGTGTGACCTGGGGAAAGTGACTTACCCTCAGAGCCTCAGGGTCCTCATGTGTCAAATGGGACTGGAGTACCTTCCCACTGCCCACCCAGGAAAATGAGGCACAGGTGGGCAAACACTACACAGTGTGAAGCTCCACACAAGCCCAAGGAGGGCTTCACAGCTTCAGACCTGCACCAACAGCCTAGATCTGAGTAGAGAGGGGAGGTGTCAGACATGTGCCTGGCAATGCTGGTGGGTGGGGAGGCTGTGCCTCCAGGATGCCAAGGCAACCAGTCCGCAGATCCAGGATAGCAAACTGGCAAACGTGCCAGGGTGTGCAGTCGCAGCCTCCAACAGAACATTCAGGTCTGACCTGGCTGCTCTGGTGCCTCTGGACTGCTGAGCATAATATGGCATCCACAGTCGATCACATGTGGCCCTGGCAAGCGGTGCCCAGAAGCCTGTACCCTGGACTCCCTGTAATCTCAGACCTGGTACTGGGCATACCAGATAGCCACCAGTCTGTGAGGACACATTCTCTGAGGCAGGAATTAGATAGGGAGTCCAGGGGGCTGAGAGGTCAAGAAGGACAGCTCTGAGAAGAGTGGGACTTGCAGTGTGCCAAGCACCTCACATCCGTGGCTCCTACTCTTCTCCCCTCCTTCAAGGGAAAAGGAGGAAAGAGCAGGCTCAGAGGAGCTGAATGTTCCTGAAGTTGCATAGCTAGAATGGGTGGTAGCGGTTTAAATTCTGGCCTATGTACAACAATAGGAAATGCAATAAAGCAAACAGGCTGAAACTGTGTTGATGCTTATGGAATAAACCATAACCTCTAGTAGAACAGCACCTAGAAAACGAGGAGTGGACATTTGTGACTCAAGTGGAGATATGTGTGAGTACCAGGCCTAGGAAAGGCCTGGAGACATGGCTCAGATAGGGACAAATTCCAAGTATATCTGGGGTGCAGTGTTCCTTACTGCCAGGGGACCATCCCCATCTCCACACTAGTGTCCCTTATTAAGGCCCTTTCCACGGTGACCCCCACCAGCAGCCCCTCACTAGCAAGAATTCTGGGTGAAGAAGACATAATGAAGAATGTTTTCACCGTGACCCTCTGGGAAAGCTGGTGTTTGAAGGCCTTCTGGGTGCAGGTGTCACTACCAGATCTAAAGGGGGAACAGTAAAGCAAAGGGGGAGGCCAGAGCCAGGCAGGTCTGTGAACAGCCATGACCACAGGAAGCCGCTACCACCCACCACAGCAGGCCTCCTGGACTTGGAGTGTTCTGCACAGTAGACCTGGCACCTGGACTCAGCGGGGAGCACACAGGCCCCTTTGGGTTGCACACAGAGAGAGCTGGGGAAGTCCCCACAGCGGGACAGCAGACAAGCAAGCAATGTTTGATATCTTCTTTTGCAAGCTGTCCCTGGGCTCAGCAGCCGCAGTGCTGGCTCTTGGCTTTGTGCCAGGCTCACTCCTGCAGCTGCCCAAGAACTGGCTGTGAGGTGTCCACCACTGGTGCCTCCTCCCCCATCCCAGGGCATCCCCAGTGCACACTTACCTCGGTGTCCCCTTTAGTCATAGGGCTGTTCACAGGGAGGGCAATGACTGCGAAGAAAACAGAGCACCAGGGGTCACTCTTTTGTACTGAGAGGAGCCCAGGCCTTCCTGACGGGGTTCACGGGACCCATTTTATTCAATGCTGCCCCTCACAACTGTCCCCATCCACTGGAGCGGCCAGGGCTGATTCTGTTTCTCTTCCTCTGGTGCTGCCCCCAGGGGGTAACCCCCAGAGGCTGCGCTGAAAGGCCTTAACCCTCCCCCTGGGGAAGCTCCAGGCAGGAGGGAGGGACGTGCGCGTGCTGGAGGCAAGTGCTAGGAAAACAAGGCCAGCGGTGCAGCAGGGCTGGGGTGGGTATGGCAGCATGGAGAGGGAGACCCCAGAGGTCAGGGTAAGGAGCTGCGGAGAGATGCTACGCAACGGTACGGAGCATCAGAGGGTAGAAAGATGGGACAGGGAGAGGGGTGAAAGGAAAGCGGTGGTGGTCCTCCTCCTTCCCCAATGACCTTGGCCGCCCGCGGGGCGAAGCCGGCGCTGGCCCCGATGCAGCCGAGACGCTGAGCCAGGACTAGGGGTGGGGGCACGAGGCAGCCCACATCCCACGCGGCTGGGAGTCCGGTCGGTGTGTCCCGCGGGGCCTGGGCAGAGGCCACAGTGCGGGACAAGTGGAGGTGGCGCTGTCCGCGGTGCTGAACTCTCGCCGCGCTAGGGGGACGCGTGGACCTCGGGTTCGTGGAGCACCCGGGGACCCTCTCGGCTAAGCCCCCGGCCCGCTCACCTTGCCCGGCGCACAGCAGGAACGCCAGGACAGCGCCGGAGCGCATGGCGAAATCGGGGCGTGGAGCAGCTTGTGGCTTGGGGACCCGCACGGCACCAGGCGAGAGGCTGCTGGACCAGCGGCGGCCAGGGGCGCAGCGTCTTGGCGGGCGAGCGTCCGCGGCTCCGTCGGTCTGCCCGCGAGCCATTACGCGCCGAGCCGGAGTACTGCGGTAGTATTGGCAGCAGCGCCAGTGTGCCCTGCTTATATACCCCCGACCCCGGAAATGACGTCACTGGGCCGCCCCCTGCCCTTTTTCCCCACCCCCAGGGTCCGGCCCCAATTCGCTCCACCTCCAGCCTCACCTCTAGCACCCTCCGGCCCCGCCGCTCTCAGCTGGTGGCACTGACAGCGAAGAGTGTCTGGCTTGCAGGCACAGGGGCCTCAGCTGATCCTCCACCCACCAACGGTTCGACCAATTTACCGCGTGTTGGTGGGCAAGTCGCTCCCTACCCCTGGGCCTTGCGTTTTTCCACGTTGCACCGAGATCCCTCTTTGTGCACGGGGCCAGCTTCCTTCCTTCCTTCCTTCCTTCCTTCCTTCCTTCCTTCCTTCCTTCCTTCCTTCCTTCCTTCCTTCCCAGCTTCCTTCTACTTGGGGTGCACTGGAGACATTCTCCATTCAGGGCACCTCGAAATACCTCGGAGGTCTTGGAGTGACTCGTGGTCCCGTCCACGCCGGGCACCCCTCTCTGGCAACTCAGTTTTGTGCCTTCACAGTTTATCTCTTGAGCCATCATTGCATTACCAGTGCCCAAAGCTGAGCACTCTGGAACAGAGTCGGGCAACTCATAGATGGCTGAGGCACCTCCGAGGTTGAGCCCTTGGGTGTGTGGACTCTGGACCCTGACTGCTCAGCTACACTTTCACCGTGCTGCTCAGCCTCGGTTGGACACCTCTTAATATCAAGCCAGAATAAGTCCTGGGGCATCCACTCGTCAGCCACAGTCCAGCCCTAGGGTCACCCTCTTGCCCCCGGCAGCCTTTGCTGTTTTAGCCTGACTTCCTCTTGAGCGTCTCCAAAGTCTGGGTCTTTGGTATGGAGATGGTTTCCTGGGGTAGAGGGGGGGTTCACTCCATGCTCTGACCATGGTCCTGCATTCACCCTGGGGTCGTATAGGAAACCCCCTGGTCAGAGGTATCTGGTGACAGTGTGGCAGTGACTGGCATCCTCCACAGCCCCTCCTTCCTGGCCCTCTGTGCATTGCTGTCTTTTCTCACTTCCTGACCATTCTTGCCCCTAGACAAGAAAAACTGTGTTGAAATTACCCCATGTATGCATTTGTTCACTTAAAAACTTGCTAAGCACCTCCATGTGCTCATAACAAACATCTTAGCACAGCGCTCAGCTGTTCCAGATGCTTAAGGGTGCAGCAACGAACAACTTGTGATTCCAGCAACTTGGGAGGCTGAGGCAGGAAGATAGCAAGTTTGAGGCCAGCCGAGCGACTTAGTAAGACCCTGCCTACAAATAATAATAATAATAATAATAATAACAACAACAACAATAATAATGCTGGAATATATCTCAGCACTTCCTGGGCTCAATCCCCAGTACCACAATAAATAAATAAATGAATATTTCCAGATAGCTCAGTGGAATAACACACCTGTGTAGGTAGAGTGCAGGGACTGGGGTTTGATCCCCAGCACCACAAGCCATGCCAGGCCCACCCCTGGGTAGCACTGGGAGGCGATTGAGACTGGGCGTGGTGGCGTGTGCCTGTAATCACAGCACTTGGGAGGCTGAAAACCGGTGGGTCACTACGAGTCTGATCTGTGTAGTGAAAACCTGTAGACCCTGTACTAAATACATAAAAAATGAATAAAAATAAAGTACAGTATGTCAGGGAGTGAGAGCACTATAGAGACAAATAAAGTAAGGAAGGAGATGGCCCGACTGGGGAGGAGCAGGGTTATATTTAATTAGAGTGGATCTGAGAAGGTCTCACTGAAGAAGTGACAGTTGATGTTGACAAGGGAGGGAGCCGGAGTGCAGCTAGAAGAGCGCTCCTGGAGGGGGGACAGCCAGGACAAACGCCCAGAGCGGGACTGGGTCTGCAATGCTGAAGGCATAGCAGGGGGTTAGGCATAAGGGACCCGAAAAACACAGCAGAAGAGTCGCAAGTGATTTGTCTCAAAAACCCTAGAGAGGAACATCACCAGCATCCGCACCACCTGGAGACAAGCATCAGTAGTTTTTCTCTTGTCTGTGCTGAAGCAGTTCTGTATTTGAGGTTAGAGGAAGAATAAGTGGCCTCATGCTGTGGGTTACCGTGAACGTGTGCAAGCTTGTGACTGTTCCAGCCTGAGCGTCAGATCATAAATATTTACCTGTGTTGCGTGTGTCGTCATCCGCTGCAATTTCTTTGTGTGCCACAGTTGTTTAATTTGAGGCTAGGTACAGGGTGTTCTGTTTTGGCGTTATAAAGAATGATCATATACACAAAGGTCTGAAGCATTTCCAGTTATTTCAGAAATGAATGCGAGACATATAAGACCAGTAGCCAAAGTGCTCCTGTCGCCCCCTTTCCCCCCACCCCCACCCCCAGGAGATGTGGCAGATCTGGACAGTAAGAAGCACACTGGGACACTTGGCAAAAATCAGTCTCTAGTGAGGATTCACAGAAAGGGACGATTGAACGGCGGCTGCTAAGGATGAGGGTGGGAAAAGAAATGAATTAGGGTTTCATGGAGACAGAGGAGGGTTTTTTTTTGTTGTTGTTTTTGTTTTGAGTCAGGGTCCCTCTGTGTAGTCCAGGCTGGCCTTGAACTTTGTAGCTGAGGCTGGCCTCAAATTCATGTTGATCCTCCTGCCTCAGCCAGAAGAGTGCTAAGATCACATGAATGCACCTCCACACCCAGCACGACAAACACTAGGACAATGAGACAGTTTTGAAGAAGGATGGTGTGACAGACAAAAATCATGAATGCATGCAATGCCTCTGAACATTTAAACACAGTTAGGGTGGTCAATTTTATCATTTTGCCATAATAAAAAGAATCGCTGTTTCTATTGAGCAGAGGAAGGTTCTGCCTCCTGGTATGCAGGGCAGGAGAGAGCAGGACTGGTGTCCGTGCCCCTCCATGGGGCAGATACCATCCACCCCTGGTGTGTCTGGGAGCTCTCTGGGCACCACACCCAACAAAGGGAGAGGGACAGCAGAGCCTGCCAAGTGGTCACCTGGGACCCTAGAGGTGGTTCTTGCTGATGTCCCCTCACCAGCCCTGGTCAGAATGCTGATACCAAGTGAGACCCAGAGCCGCCCTGAGCATCCCTGTGGAGAACCGCAGACTCCTGGCTGCTTCCCACAAGCCACGCCTGAGTCCAACTCATGCGGCAGATGCAGCCAGGACCTGCTGCGCTCCCTTGGTCCTGCAGGACTCTTGACCAAGCTCCCACTACCACGGCCTACCCTTGGAATCCAAAGGCTTTTTATGGAAACGAAGAGAGCTACAGAGAGTTCTCACCTGCCACCCCCACCCCAGGGAGCCCGTGGTGCCCCAGCTTCCCTGCTGCTGGATGGGGTAATTTTAAGGTAGGTTTTCTTCGTCTCATTTCCCAGTGCTTCCCCATGGGATTAAGTTGTTTGCCACGGTGGAGTCTGCCTTGATGGCGTGTACCTTGTCCAGACCCTCTTTCCTTTCCCCATGATTCTTCTTGATGGCCCCAACACACTCTTCTCCCAGGAAATCCTGATAAACCACAGTTGGTCAGTTAAGTTCTTGTCTCAGAGAACCTAGGCTGAGAGCCCGACTGGTGCCAGGCCTGTGTCTGGGTGTGGGTGGTCTGACAGCTCCTCGCCCTCTCAACGGGCCTGGGTCCTGCAGCTGTGCCCTGCTCTTCTGGCCTCTCCTCTTCTCAGACCCTGACAGATTTCTGCTGTCTCCCTGGAGCTAGGACTTGATTGTCCTTTGGGTTAAGTTAGAGGGTGGCTCTTTGGATACC